TCGCCAGTGTTCCTGCCTCGGGATGTTTTCCAGCAGCTGCCTCGCCGAGGGCATGCCGGGGTTGGCCAGATCGTTCTGAACGGCCGCTGGAGATCCGTGTTGCGATTCGAAAGCCACACGGGGAGACTTCTTGGGGCTTCTTGGAGGGTACCCACGTGTTTTCACGCATGTTGCATTCTGGGGCGAAAGAGGCCCACGTGTTTTCACGCTTGCTCCGCTCTGGGGCGAAACGGACCCATGCAATTTCGCGCTTGCTGCGCTCTGGGGCGAAGGGCACCCACGTGTTTTCACACTTTTGTTCCGCTCTGGGGCGCAAGGGACGCACGTGTTTTCATGCTTGCGCCGCTCTGGGACGAACGGGACCCGCGTGTCTTCACGCTTGCTGCGCTCTGCGGCGAAAGGGGCGCGCTTTCACGCCTGTTCGGCTGGTGGGCGACAGGGGCCCACGTGCTCCCACGCTCGTTCCGCCTGGGGGCGACGGGGTGGTTTCACGCCTGCTGCGCTCTTGGTCGAACAGGACCCCCGTGCCGTCACGCGTCGCGGCCACCCAGGGGCGGTCCAGATGTGAGGGAGGGCACACACGCAGCGCAAACTCAACGAGTCGGCACCGGATGCAGAATCACCTGGCACGTTCTCCTTCTGGGGGCTCCGGGGGGACTTCCTGGGGCTTCTTGCAAGGGGCCCACGCGTTTTCATGCACATTGCATCCTGGGGCGAACGGGACCCACGTGTTTTCACGCCTGTTCCGCTCTGGGGCGAACGGGACCCAAGGTGATTTCACTCTTGCTCCGCTCTGGTGCAGCACGGACCCACGTGTTTCACGCTTATCCCGCTCTGGGCCCCAGAGTCTGGGGCCACATGCGGCCAACGTGTTTTCTCGTCTGCTCCGCCCTGGCGCGAGGAAGGACCCATGTACTTTCACGCCTGTTCCGCTCTGGCGCGCAAGGGACACGTGTTTTCGCGCTGGTCCCACGGTGCCCGGGCGGATCCCGAGCACGAGGACTTGTCGAGGGTGTTTCGAGAGCGAAGCGCGGGCCTTTACCTGCCCAGGCCGCCCAGGCGGATCACCAAGAGGCGTATGTGTTGAGGATGTCTATGGCGAAACGCTCCCTCTGCAGGATGTGTCGAGGATGTCTCGAGCGAGGCCCTCGCCTGCAGCGAACGGCTCCTTCTGCAGGATGTGCAGAGGACATCTCTCGCGAGACGCTGGCTTTGCCACTGCTCGAGGCGGTGTCGAGCGGGGGCCTTGTCGTCGTCTCGTTGCTTTTCGTTTCGGTTCGGATTCGCCCCTTGATCGGTTCGTCCCACTTCGGAACTGAATCGGATCTTGAGCTCGAGCTGGTTCAGCGCCCCGCGCGTCTCGACTACAACCATCCCGAGCTATGCGTTCAGGCAGCTCGAGCTTAAGATCCAAATCAGTTCGGCCACGATTCTCACGCCAAGGACGGCTTGATCCACAATGCAATAGGGCGCGGCACGGTTCAACGCGGCGTGACACGTTGAATTCAGTACAGCACGGCACAGCACGGCACAGTACAGCATAGCACGTGGCGCGGTACATCACGATCGTTATTCTGAGCGCTGTAATTGCCCGATGCCCCAGTTTGACGTCTTGGAAACGATGCCATGCCCTTTCCGGGTTCGTGGGTCGATCATGCTCGGCGAAGGTATATCGCATCTCGCCCGTGGAAGCGATATTCCGCCACCGGGTCCCTCATCCCAATTGTGCCAATCGGGTTCAAATCGGAACTGAATACGTTCTATAGAGGATCGAGGATCGAGGTGCGGTCGGAGATCAAATATTTAGTCTTCGATCGAGCCTTGACCCTCGACCCTGGTTCGAATATCGATCCTCGGTCATCGGTCGAACATCGATGCTCGATCCTTCCCTCAGTTCCCGCCTTGCCAAAACAAGCTTTCGAGTCAGCATGCGTGGGAGAGCGGGCGGAAGCTTATACAAACTTTTCCATTTCGATGCTGGCAAACCACGGGAGTTTTGTGTTCTCTCGTAATTCTGTCTTTCGAGTGCTTTAGCGTTGATTAGTGTCTGGTAATCGATGAGATAGTGCCGATTTAGCCTCGAATAGCGTCGGTGAGCGTCGATAAGCGTTGAATTAGCGTCGATTAGCGTCGGTCTAGGTCGATTAGCGTCGACGAGCGTCGATGCGCAAGAGCCAACAGGAGTTGCCGCAGAACACTTCAAACTAATCTAGAAGCCAATTCCTACCACTTCTGCTCAGGCTACTAGTTCGCCACTGCCCAGAAGAAGGGGCGAGGACAGGGGGAGCATTTCGGAATACGGGTTCTAAACATCGCTGGCGGTGCCGGGGGGGTGATGTTCCCCGTCGTGACTGCGCCTCAGGGTTGGGTCGCAGATACAACCAGTACCTTGACTTATCATGTCTGCAAACTAGATAAGCCCTGCCATTTCTTCAGACTATCATTGTTCTACTGCCCACATGGCGTGGGGGCGGGCTTTTTTTCTGCTCATGGGTTCTAAATAACGCTGGCGGTGCGGGGGGGCCACTTTCCCTCTCCTGGTGTACGCCTCCGGGGAGCAGAAAACATGCCCTTCTGATCAGGGGTCGCACATCGAAACCACGGGTGGGGGGAGGTGGGCAGGCAAACACCTTGGGAAAGCCTGAAGCAGATTGCCGAGCACTGCTCTGCGGTGTTCTCCACTTCTCGGCAGTGCGCTCGGGACTGCTCTGCTCTGCCATGACTCACACTGCCCTGCGTTGCTTTGCACCGCTGCGGGTCGCTCTGCCCGGGAAGGACGCGGGCCCAGGGCTCCTTTTCAGTTGGTGCATTGTCCCTGGGTCCCATGCCGAGGTGGGCCGGCGAGTTTCCGTTCGACAGCAAACGAGGTAAAGTCCGGTTCGGCGTGGGCCACAGACCTGCGTCTCGCGCGTGCCTGCTCAAGGAAACTGTGCCCCCCAGCTCGGATCCTGGTTGCCTAACGGTGTCCGCAGACTCCCGCTTTGTTTCCTTAAAACGGATGTGCGGAGGGTTTTGCGCAGCAGTTGCACTAAATTGCGAGGTTCGGAGACTCTACAATTTTTCAAAAAAATGTGGAACAGTGCGTGGGCCTAGGGTTCTCTTTTAGTTTTGTTTTAGTTCCCCCCTGGTTTCGCAGGCGGAGTTATTTGCTATAAATTACAAGGTGAAGTCAAATTCGGCGTGGAAAAAATGAGAATGTCCCAAGCGAAGCGCGTGTTTGATTTCCGCCGGCGGAATTGCTTGCGATAAATAAAAAGGGAAAGTACAATTCGGCGTAGAACAATTGAGGATATCCCTAGCGAAACGCGTGTCTTGTACACATTTGTTGAGGATGCCTCAGGCGAAACGCTGGTTTTGCGGAGTTGGGGGATGTCTCGAGCGGGGGCTTCGTCGGGGGCCAGAATTCAGAGGATGTCTCAGGTGAAATGTTTGTTTTCACGTGCCCATGCCGCCCAGGGGGTATCTAACATGGCTGCCCCTAGCTGGCGCCCTAGACGACCACATGTGAGATGTATCCCCTGGGTGGGCTGGAACGAGGTGCTCTCACGTGTCCAGGCCACCCAGGGGGATATAACAATGGTGGTCCCGAGCTGGCACCACGTGTTTTCACGTGTCCAGGCCACCCAGGAGGATATCTAACCAATCATAGGAGGAGGAGGAGGAGGAGGAGGAGGAGGAGGAGGAGGAGGAGGAGGAGGAGGAGGAGGAGGAGGAGGAGGGAGGAGGAGGAGGAGGAGGAGGAGGAGGAGGAGGAGGAGGGAGGAGGAGAAGGAGGGGAGGAGGAGGAAACGGAGGAGGAGGAGGAGGAGGAAACGGAGAGCGGAGGAGGCGGAGGAGGCGGAGGAGGAGAGGAGGAGGAGGAGGAAGGAGGAGTAGGAGAGAGGAGGAGGAGGAGGAGGAGGGAGGAGGAGGAGGAGGGGAGGAAGGGAGGAGGAGGGAAGGAGGGGAGGAGGAGGAGGGAGGGGGGAGAGGGAGGAGGAGGGGAGGAGGGAGGAGGAGGGAGGGGAGGAGGGAGGAGGGAGAGAGGGGAGGAGGGAGGAGGAGGAGGAGGGGGAGGGAGGGAGGAGGAGAGGAGGAGGAGGAGGAGGAGGAGGAGGAGGAGGAGGAGGAGGAGGAGTCCTGAGTTTTTTTTGGCCTCCGTGGGCCCTCCACGGGTCCTGCGACGGTCCGAGCACGATGGAGGGCGAGGAGCTGGTCCTGGAGGGCCGCGGCGTCCAGGGCCCGCCTCCCTCGGGACCCGCGTCTGCGTCGTGCCGAGGTAGTGCGAGGCTGAGTTCGGTGCAGAGCAGGGGGGGATGAACGAGAAGGAGGTCGTCGTTTTCTTCTTCATTGTTTTGCCGATCGGCGTGGGCCCTCGCACCCCCCCTCCCCGCCCCCATGGAGTAGATCCTGGCTGTTTTCTGGCGCCTCTTTCAAGCAGGTGGAGTCTCCCCCCCCCCCACAGGACGCACGGTGGCAAACAGTGGCACTAAGCAGAGGTCCAGAACCAGATCCCCCCCGCCCCCCCCCGCAGCCCAAAGTCGAAACGCCGAATAAGAGGGAGAGGAGACGCATAAGGATCGAACAACACAGACACATTATAAACATAACATGTTTGCGCGGTCCGCGCGGAACTCTTGACGCTCCGCGCGCCAGGTGGGTGGGGTGGGGGGGTCCAGCACAGATCCGAGAACTTTGCGCGGACCGTCGAACGTTCATGTTCATGTAGTTGTTCCATCTGGTGAGGTGCACGGGTACCAGGGGCAACGTCAGGGGGGGATAACCTCCGACCCCCAGTCGCCCATTCATCGCCGAGAAGGGCCCGACAGCCCACCCCGCCCAGGAAATTGCGGTGTGGCCATGGGACGCCCATCGCCAATCTATCGGCAATCGATCCATTTTGTTGTTCCCCCCCTCTTATTTGGTCCCCTCCGACACATCCCCTCTCAGGTCAGATCGCAAGCACGGGGGGTCTTAGGGGAGGAGGAGGATGAGGAGGGCGAGGAGGAGAACGTGCCGAGGTCCAGATGGCCCAGGCGCGAAGCACAGCGTCGATCCAGAGGAGAAGAAGGACTCGATGGGTATACACACAGGTGTGTAAACATGTTTAAAGATAAGCACATATTTTTTATGTATGTATGTATGTATGTATGTATGTATGCATGTATGTATGTAGGTGCGTTTGTATGTATGTATACATATACGCATGCATGTGTGTTTGTGTGTTTGTTTGTATGTTTGTCTGTACGTATGTATGCGTGCATGTATGCATGTATGTATGCATGCATCTATGCCTGCACGTATACGTGTATGCATGTATGTATGTATGTATGTATGTATGCGCGCATGCATGCATGTATGCACGTATGTATGTGTATATGTATATGTATATGTATATGTATACGTATATGTATATGTTTATGTATATGTTTATGCATATGTATATGTGTATGTAGATGCATATGTATATGTATATGTATATGTATGTGTATATAAATGTGTATATGTATATGTATACGTGCAGGTATATGTACATGCACGTGTCTATTTATGTGTATGCGTATATGTAAATACGTATAGGTATATGTTTGATTATATGTATATGTATATGTAGATGTATTTGTATGTGTATTTGTATACGTATATGTATATGTATATGTAAATGTACATGTATATGTATGTGTATACATACATGTGTGTGCATGTACATGTGAAGTCTATGTTTATGTATATGTATTGGTATTTGTATTTGTAGTTGTATATGTATTTGTATACGTATTTGTATATGTACATGTAGATGTACATGTATATGTAACGGTATATGTAATTGTATATGTGAAAGTCTATGTATATGTATATGTATATGTTTATGTATACGTATATGTGTATGTGTATGTATATCGATTGGTATATGTATAGGTATAGGTATATGTATATGTATAGGTATAGGTATAGGTATAGGTATATGCATAGGTGTACGTATATAGATATATGCATATGTATGTGTATATGTATATGTATATGTATATGTATATGTATATGTATATGTGCATGTTTATGTCTAGGTATATGTATATGTATATGTATATGTATACGTACACGTACATGTATAGGTATATGTATATGTATGTGTGTATATATATATATATAGGTATAGGTACATGTACAGGTATAGGTATCGGTATACGTATAGGTACAGGTATAGGTATAGGTATAGGTATAGGTATAGGTATATGTATATGTGTATGTGTATGTCTGCCTGTCTGTCTGTCTGTCTGTCTGTCTGTATGTATGTATGTATGTATGTATGTATGTATGTGTGTATATAAATATACATATATATATATATATACATATATCGGAGGTTGGGGGGTGAGATCGAAGTGGAACGGAGAGCCCTCCTACCGGAAAATCGATTTCGGTTTCGTGTTCGTGCGTGCCATGCGGGCGAGGCGAAGCTGCGTGGGCGGGCGAGAGAAAGTCTCCTGTGGCTGAGGCGCGGCCGGACCAAATGACTCCCTTCGGGCGGCCGGGGCCCCGCGGTGTCCCGCTGGTGTCTCGCTGGTGTCCCGTGTGGCTGAGGCGCGGCCGGACCAAATGATTCCCTTCCGGGCGGCCGGGGCGGCGCGGTGTCCCGTCGGTGTCCCGCTGGTGTCCCGTGTGGCTGAGGCGCGGCCGGACGAAATGATTCCCTTCCGGGCGGCCGGGGCGGCGCGGTGTCCCGCCGGTGTCCCGCCGGTGTCCCGTCCGTGTCCCGTCGGTGTCCCGATGATGATGTTGATGATGATTATGATGATGATTCTGATGATGATGGTGATGATGATGATGATGATGATGATGATGATGATGATGGTGATACTGATGATGATGTTGATAATGGCGATGATGATGATGATGATGATGATGATGATGATGATGATGATGATGTTGATGTTGTTGATGATGATGATGATGACGTCGATTGCGAGATCGATTGTGATATCGGTAGTGAGACCGAATGTGAGATCGATTGTGCGATGCTGATGGTGATGATGGCCTTCATGGTGTTGATGTTTGTGATTATGATGACGACATTGATGATGATGATGATGATGATGATGATGGTGATGCTGATGATCATGATGAATACGATGATGATGCTGCTGCTGATGATGATGATGATGATGTTGATGGTGATGTCGATGAGGATGATGATGACGACGTGGATAGTGATATCGATTGTGAGATCGGTAGTGAGACCGAATGAGACAGCGAATGAGGCGACATGGTGTCGAGTGGCATGGGCGGAGACACAGAGAGAGCGGCATGTGTGTCGAGCGGCATGTGTGTCGAGCGGCATGGTGGGATCGTGTGTGGGATAGTGAGACCGGCCGAGAGAGATCGATGATGAGATCGATTGTGAGATCGATGGTGAGATTGATCGAGTGAGATCGATGAGTGAGACCGATAAAGAGATCGATAGTGAGATCGATAGTGCAAGAGGGGGCGCGGGCTGCGCCAAGCTTTGCCAGCGCTTCAGTCTTCTGTGGCCAAATGGCGCCGTTAGCTGCCGTTGCGCAAGTTGGGCAGGTTCCCAGGGGGAGGGCCGAATGGTACCAAGGCGCCAAAGAGCGAAGGGTGACGTAAACAACTCGACACCAACGCTCCCAAGAGCGAGCGGCAACGCAACTATCTCCACTGGCATTGTCACAACAACATTCACCACTGTTGCCCATTGCTGGGCCCCTCCCCCCCCAACCTCCTTATCACCCGCAGGGTGGTCGTATAGGTATATACACACATGAAACGCCCCCCCCCCCCCCAGCCCCGGGTTCACACCTCCCCGTGACATCCCGGGGACGCTCCCGGCCCGGTACCGCTCCCCGGGCCTTTTCCGAGGAGCCTCCACAGCGCTCCAGGAGGGCCCAAGACGCCTCCCAGGAGCCCCCAGAATGCGAAAGGATGGCCCAAGACGCTCCCAAGCAGCCCAAGTCAGCCTTTCGACGGCTCTCGAGGTTCTCAGGTGGCCTCCGAGAGACCCCGAGAGAGGTCCGAGAGGCGTCCCGGGACGGCCCGAAGAGGCCAAAATCGTAGATTCCCAGTGTTTTTTTGAATGTTTTGGGCTTCTCGCGTTTTCGAGCTTCCAACGGTCCAAGAGCGCCGAAGAGGCTCCCAAGACCGCCCCAAGACCACCCGAGAGACCCTCAGGACGGCCCCAAGACGGGCCAAGAAGGCTCCAAGACTGCCGAAGGGGCGCCCAGGACAGCCCCATACCACCCCACAACAGGCCCAAGATTTGCCCAAGAGCGGGAGCAGGAGGCTTCCAGAGACCTCCGAGAGGCCTCCGGGACGCCCCAGACCAGAGGCCCCCAACACCCCCTCGATCCCTGAGAGGCGACAAAAAGACCCCGACGAGGCTCCACGAACAGCCCAAGAGAGCTGCGAGAGCCGTCCCGCGAGAGCCCAAAGAGGGTAGAATCGTTGATTTCCAATGGTTTTTCCAATGTTTTTCGCCTTCTCACGTTTTCCCGCTTCCAACCCTCAAAGATCGAGGATTTCGAAAAAAAAGGGAATTCGAGACTTCCCTCTTTTTTTTGTTTTTTCAAAGTGGACTCCTGCTTGGAGATCCCACACATCCCCTGACATCTGGCCGGTACCGCGCCTCCCGGCTTCTGGGGGGCCCCCAAGACGCCCGAGGACATCCCAAGACGACCCCAAGGAGCCCACAGAACGTAAAGAACGGCCCAACACGCTCCCGCGCAGCCCGAGACACCCTTCCGACGGCTCTCCAGGCGTCCAGGAGGCCTCCAGAACCCCCAGGGGGCCCGGATGATCCCACACCCCTGAGGGGCCTGGCTAACAGAACCCGCGAGGCACAAACAAAAAACAGCGCCGAACAGCGCCGAGGAACTGGAAAAAATGGAAAGCGCAAAATTATTGTTTTCCAAGTTTGGCTCCCGGTCTACTCTTGCACAACAGACCACAATTCAGAACCCCCTCACCTCCCCAAAGATAACCCAGGAAGCCTCTGAGGGCCCCAAATCGTTGAATACCTAAAGTAAATAAATGATTTCTGCGTTTCCGCACTTCCTGTTCTATTTGATTCCGAGGCTTGCGCAGGGCCTCCAAGGAAGCCACTGGACGCAAGAAACGACCAACATGATATTACATGAATTAGCTTATCAAGCCTAGCTAGAACTTGAGCGCGCGCGAAGCGCGGGATGGTTGTAGCACATATATACATATGTATACACATATATATATATATGATTGTATGTCTGTCTGTCTGACTGACTGACTGACTGACTGACTGATTGATTGACTGACTGTCTGTGTGTGTGCGTGCGTGCGTGCGTGTGGACGGCGCGAATACAGGAGGTCATGTAGGCCAAGGAGGAGGTTGGGGAAAGTCGCTTCAGCATGTTCTTCGCTTGATGACGACAGTGGGGACAGGCAGGTTCAGGATGTGGATGAAATCCGACAGGGCCAGGGCAGGGCTGAGGATGCGCACGTCGCTGCAAAATCGGACCTCGGGGCGCTCCCGCGCGAACTGTTCTTACAGCTTCCACACTTTCACAGCACCGTTTTTCTCCCGGCTTCGTCGCAAGATGGGGAGAGTTCAGAGGGAAGGCGGGATGGGGTTGAGCGAAGGCGAGGGGGGTACGTGCGAGCGTGCGAGCGTGCGAGCGTGCGAGCGTGCGAGCGTGCGAGCGCGAGCGCGAGCGCGAGCGCGAGCGCGAGCGCGTGCGCGTGCGCGTGTGCGTATGCGTGTGCGCGTGCGCGTGCGCGTGCGTGTGCGTGTGCGTGTGCGTGTGCGTGTGCGTGTGCGTGTGCGTGTGCGTGTGCGTGCGCGTGTGCGTGTGCGTGTGCGTGTGCGTGTGCGTGTGCGTGTGCGTGTGCGTGTGCGTGTGCGTGCATGCGTGTGCGTGCATGCGTGTGTGTGTGTGTGTGTGTGTGTGTGCGCGTGTGCGTGCGTGCGTGCGTGCGTGCGTGCGTGCGTGCGTGCGTGCGTGCGTGCGTGCGTGCGTGCGCGTGCGTGCGTGCGTGCGTGCGTGTGTGTGTGTGTGTGTGTGTGTGTGTGTGTGGGTGTGCGCGTGTGCGT